TTTTACCGCGGGTCCTAGCCTAAATGACTAGATTCTAGATACCGGCGCTATAGCCTATATGTCTAGACATAAAGATCTCTTTACTTCTTTAAAAGAAGTAAATTTACCTATAAAACTAGGTAAAGGAGAGATCTATACTAAAGGAATAGGTACTATACCTATTACCTTTAAGTACGCTAATAGAAGGATAAATCTAACCCTTCTAGACGCTCTCTATATCCCCGATTTATCTATAAATCTTATCTCTATATCTAGGCTATATACACATGGTATATATCTAGATATAAAGAACTTAAGACTTATAGATAAAAGAGAGCAGATATATGCCGAAGTTTTACTTTAGAATAACCTATTTATACTACCTAAGGTAGAATCTACTATAAATCACTCATATATAGTAGATTTAAACCTATAGTATAATAGGTTAGGGCATATAAACTTAGAAGCTCTTAGGGTACTACTACCTATTAAGGGTAGTAAAATAGACTGTTCTATATGCCCTTTAGCTAAATCTAAGCATACTATATCTACTATACTAGTAGCGGTCTCTAAACCTTATAAGAAGATAGGTCTAGATGTTATAGGACCTATTACTCCTAAGGGAATAGGGGGATATACCTACTATATAGCCTTTATAGACTATTATAGTAGGTTTACATAGGTATTCCCCCTATTTACTAAAGGAGAAGCCTATAATAAGATAGTTTACTATCTTAAACTTATAGAGCCGTATGGTAAAGTCTAGTCTTTAAGGCTAGATAATAGCCTAGAATATAGAGGAACTTAGCTAGATTTACTAGCTAAAAATAAAGGAATAACTCTAGAAAAGAGTTCTCCTTATAGCCTAGAGTAAAACGGGCTTATAGAGAGGACACATAGGTTAATAGATACTATTACCCGTTGCCTTCTCTTAAATTCTAAGGTCCCCCTTACCTTCTAGCTAGAGGCTATTAAAACCGCCACTTATATTCTAAACCGGACCCCTAAGAAGTCCCTAGAGGGTATTTCGCCTCTAGCCCGGCTAAATATAGCTAAGGGTAGGTCTCCTACTATAAATCTCTCTTATATAAAGACTTTCGGAAGTAAAGTCTTTATAAACATCCCTAGAGAAAAGCGTACTATATCCTCTAAGTATTCTCTACGCTCTAGGCCTAGTATATTATTAGGCTTTAAGGGGGAGCATATTTATAGATGCTAGGATATAGAAAAACAAGCTATTATACGCACTAGGGATGTTACCTTTAAAGAAGATGAATTTCCTTCTCCCTATACTAAAAGTATAGAAGATAAGGAAGATATAGACTATACTAAGCCTATATTTCCCTCTTCTATAACTAGCCCTCCTAATAGACTAAGATCTAAGTCTATAACTACTATAGATACTAGTAGGGAGGAGCCTAGGAGAAGTAAGCGCCTTAGAGAAAAATCCTCTAAGGAATCTACTACTATAGAGGCTACTATTAATAGCCCTATAGAAGAAGTACCTCATCCTCTTAGAGAGACCTTTAAAGAGGTTAGAATCCCTAGTAGTAGCAGCTATGTTACTATAGAAGGCCTAAGTAATATAGAGGAAGATATCTCTTATTACTTACTCTATAGTAATAGGGAACCTACTACTTATAGTTAGGCTATTAATTCTCCTAATAGCCTAGACTAGTAGAGAGCTATGCGGGAAGAATATAATTCCCTTATTAAGAATTAAACCTAGATCTTAGTAGACCCCCCTAAGGATAATAAAATTCTTAGAGGTAAATAGGTCTATAAGATTAAAACTAATAATAAGGGAAATATTACCCGCTATAAGGCTAGATAGGTAGTATAAGGCTAAAATTAGGAGTATAGTATAAACTATAAAGAGACTTTTAGTCCTATAGTCTTACCTATAGTTTTACGCCTACTACTAAGCCTTTCTGCCTATTTAGACCTAGAAATCGTATATATAGACGTCGAAACCGCCTTCCTAAATAGGAAAATAAATGAAGACATCTATATATATCAGCCTATAGGCTTTAAGCTTAATAATAAAGTCTATAAATTAAAGAAAGCTCTCTATAGCCTAAAATAAGCCCCTAGGGCATAGGCAGCCTATTTTAGCTACTTCTTAGAAGAGAACGGCTATAACTAGCTTCTATCTAAGGCCTGCTTATATACTAAGACCTTTAAAGAAGGCTTATTTATATAGGTCTTAGTATACGTAGACGATATCCTACTTTTTAGTAAGGATATATCTATTATTAATTCTTTTAAAGAATTAATAAGGTCTAGGTTTACTATTAAGGACCTAGGACCTATTTCCTATTATTTAGGAATTTAAGTCACCCGGGATAGGTCTAAAAAGACTATATCTTTATTATAGGAAGGCTATCTTTCTAAAGTCTTAGAGACTTTCTCTCTAAGCTCTATTATGCCTTCTAAGACTCCTTATTTATATAAGGAGCTTCCTAGACCACCCGCGGACTATTAGGCTAGTGAAGACCTTATTAAAGAGTATAGATCTTTAATAGGCTCTCTTCTATATGCTATAGTCTATACTAGGCCTAATATAGCTTATATACTAGCTTCTTTAAGCTAGTATTTAAGCTGCCCTCTAGTAGAGCACCTTAGAGCTACTAAAAGAGTCTTATCCTATCTAAAAGGAACTAAAGATTATACTATTACCTATAAGGGTACTAGTTTTAATCTAGAATCCTACTCCGACTCTAACTTAGGGAATGAGCTTAATAGACATTCTCTAGCAGCTTATATTATTTACTCTACTAATAGGCCTATAGCCTAGAAAGCTAGTAGACTAACCTATGTCTCTATTTCTACTATAGAGGCAGAATATATAGGTTATAGTATACTAGCTAAGGTTATCCTTTATATTAAAGGATGTTTAGAAGAGTTAGGTTATAAAGACCTTATACCTACTCCTATAGTCCTTAAAGAGGATAACATACCGGCTATAGCTACTACGGAAGATGCTACTAAAAAGTCTAAGAATATAGATATAAGGTATTACTTCTTAAGGCAGCTAGTTAAGGAAAATCTTATAAGATTCTCCTATATCTCTACTAAAGAGATGCCTATAGACGCCTTAACTAAGGTACTTACTAAGGCTCTCTTTACTAAATTCCTCTCTATTACCCTACGTAATAAGTTAGGGGGAGTGTTAGAGGCCTAAGAATAAGTCTAGACTATTCTAGACTCTTCTAGACCTCTTCTATTACTAAGAACTTATTCCTACGGGTTCTTTTAGATTCTAGCCCTTATTCTAGATTGTCTTATTACTAAGGCCTAGAATCTTCTAGTCTAGATTAATTAGAAATCGTCTTCTATTAATAGAAGAACCTATTACTAATTACCTAGAGATAGAACTCTCTAGAATCTATAGGTTCTTCTATATAAATACCCTTAGGTAGCCTACTAGTTAGTCCTTTAAGGAAGTTCTCTTATAGTAAAGAATCTACTACATTCTCTACTATAAACTATCTACTATACGGTATATAATAAAGATATTACTTATCTTTATAGAATACCGCTAATAATAAGAAGAGTAAAAAGAAGAAGAGAGAATCTATTCTAATCTCTACTAGTAGAGTGAATAACGAGCTCTATAATCCCTCTACTTATAGTTCCCGTAGGTACTACCCTAGAACCCCTCTAACTAAAGATAATTAAGAAAAGGACCCCTTTATCTATAATCTACCTAATACCCTCTAGGCTTATACCCCTCCTCTACCTTATATAGAGCCTCTACTAAGACCCTAGCCCTCTAGATTAGGAAGGCGTTAATATAGCTTAGATAACTACTCTATAACTACTCTAGCTAAATCCTCCTACTCCTAATAATAATTAGATAACCGTTTAGCGGTAAGGTAAGGGCTTAATACTATTTATCTATATAGTATACCTAGGCTAGGGCGGTATATAGAGCTCTATTATTAGAAATAATATTAACGTACGGTCGTCTAATAGCGGTAATAGGGCTAGATTAAATTATAAGTAACATTAATATAGATTAAACCTAGGTTCTTTAGCGTTATTTATTTTCTATAATAAGTATTAGCTAACTATACTAGTTAGCTAGAAGATATATACTACTAGTTAAAAATCTTACCTACCTTATTTACCTTTATAGGTACTAAGAAAGGTGTTATATAACGCTAACTAAAAATAGTACTATTAGGGATAGTACTAGAACGCTATAGTAGAGTATATATATAATCTACCTTACCTACTACCCTATACTATATTTACTTTTCTATATACGCCTTCTACCTATCCCCCTTCCTTTTATTACTCTTACTTTATACTACCTATCTACTTAGATAATAGTAGAAAGGCTAGTTCTTAGCCCCTCCTTATCTAAAAAGAGCCTAGATAAACTATCTATCTATAATAACCCTATACTAATATTATACTAAGAATTATACTTTATTATATAAGATTCTTTAGCTAGGTATCCCTACTTACCTTATAAACGTACGTAGTATCCCCTATAGATAGCTCTATCTTAGATAGCCTATAGCTCTAGTAAGACGTAAAATAATTAATTAATTAATTAATTAATTAAATAATAGTAGGAAGGCTAGTTCTTAGCCCCCCCTTACCTAAAAAGAGCCTAGATAAACTATCTATCTATAATAACCCTATACTAATACTATACTAAGAATTATACTTTATTATATAAGACTCTTTAGCTAGGCATCCCTACTTACCTTATAAATGTATATAGTATCCCCTATAGATAGCTCTATCTTAGATAGCCTATAGCTCTAGTAAGATATAAAATAATTAATTAATTAATTAATTAATTATATAAGATTCTTTAGCTAGGTATCCCTACTTACCTTATAAACGTACATAGTATCCCCTATAGATAGCTCTATCTTAGATAGCCTATAGCTCTAGTAAGATATAAAATAATTAATTAATTAATTAATTAAGTAAGACTTTAGTACGTAATGCTAGATACATTAACAGTAATTATAAATTTACTCTCAAGGATAACTACACTAGCGTTGGTGGTTTAGTGGTAAAATTCATCGTTGCCAGCCCATAGCGTTCCTTCACCGGGAGAGCCTCCTGGAAAAACTTCGATGAGCCCCGGGTTCGATTCCCGGCCGACGCAGTTTCTTTAGCCTTTTGAGACCATCTCACGAGGCTGTGGTGGTGTTTGGGTTGATGTTTTGGTAGGTGGGGAGGCCTGGAAGCGTTTTGGTGAAGCGAGGGTCGTAACTCGGGCAAACGGGCCGATGCCGGCTAGAAAACGCGGCCTAGGCGCATGCCGAGCGTCGTGAGATTGGGGAGCGGGAGATTGGGCCATTCCGAGCAGTATAGAAGTCGTTGTGTTGAAGTGCTCTCCGTGAGTGAGGCTTGGTATGCTGCGCAAGTTTTGCGGTTTGCTGTCGCTTTTTGGCCAGGACTTCAGCATCAATGAGGGAATAGACAGCAGTACCGTGTTTTCAATCGCAAATCACCGTCGCCGCTGCGTGTTTCCGATGGAGAAGAGGTCAGCAATTCTCGAAGCAATACCGGGCGGAGACTGCGGTGAAGACAAGACAACGGCGAAAGCGCACACGGGATGTTGATTTCACGGTTACAACATCCTTCGACATGGTTGACGTCAGAGTCCGGTTGCGGGTCGCGTTCGCGTTCCATTCCAAAGCTTAGGTTCTGGAAGCCTGCCGAAAACAAGCAATGAGCCCCGGTTGGGCATGCGATACTGACCATAGAATTCAGATGGCTCACTCGAAGTTCGATGATGCTGCGACGAGTGAAAACCACAAGAAGAGCGAAATCGCCGGCGGGACAAAGCGCTGGCAGAAGATTCTTGACGGTTGTTGTTGCTCCGCCCCATGACAAGAAGTGCTCACGTGACACACTGATCTGTGCGTTACATTCCCGGACTAACAGATTTCCCGAGACCGACCAACTCCCAGCCCTGCCAGCCGGGTGTCCCCATCCCATAACATCTTCGTCACGCCTCATCTGTTCATTCGTTACCGTGTTCATCTTGCGACTGTCTATCAACCGTACGTTTATTCCGTGTGCTTTACAACTGCGCATCAACTATCCGGGATCCAATCGTCGTGCTGGAGTATCGGGTTGCCTGCAAGGCTGGTGACTCCTTGCGATTCCCTGGACCGGTCTTTCTCTGGTTGCGTGCCGGCTCGAGATACCCCTCTGGCCCGCACAATATTTTCGAGCTTGATTCGTTCTCGGAACGTTCGGAGTACCTGTCTAGCTGGTACCTCACCTTGCTCCTGTCCGCTTTCTTCCTGGGCTGGCCTTCTCCGGATGTGTGCTGGTTCGAGGGAAACCTCTGGCTCGCACAATCTTCTCGAGCTGGGCTCGCTTGCGGGCAAAGGGCACTGTTGCGACGACCCGGTTAGTGGAGTCAAGGCTGCTCTCAAGCAAACAGCTTGGCAAAGCCTGGGTGGGTGGGATTCCCACGCTGAATCGTGGGGGTTTTTGTACTTTAACAATGTAAATATTTGGAATGTCACGGTTGATTGGCTGCTCTAGATCTGCCTTATTCGCGCCCTGAGACCCATTACCCTCGCGATGGATGGCCGCCCATGCTTTGCCTCCGCTCCACACTTGGATTACGCCAACGAATTCTTGGTAAAATGGCGCGACGCGGAGACGGGACATACACTGTTTCTTGGGCAATTGGCTTCTTCTGGACGTCGCTATGGTGAAGTGTCCATGTGGTTCGCCGACGATGTGGACCAGAAGTGCATGATCGGGTTTTCTCTTCCCTTGAAGATGCGGGTCGCGAACAAGAAAAGGAGAGACATTCATTTCGTCCTGCCTGCGCGTGCCTTTGCGAGCCCAGACAAGCTCTTCTCCATCGATGTCGTGACGGCCCAAGATGATTTGGAAGCAGCCCATGAGTTTCGCAAGGCGGGACTTGGTTCGTCGACCAAGCTTCTCCGATTGTCCTTTGCCCTCCAAGAATATGGCTACGCCATGATGCCCACCGAGCCTTTCTCAAACCCGTTGCCTTCGAATTCACGCGGCCTGCTGCTCAGCCTCAAATCGCTTTCACGCAGCACAGCTTTTGAAGTGTATTTGCCGTATCTGGAGTCTGCCGCAGAGTTGCTAGACCGCTTTGCCACCAAACCGCGGAGTCTCCCAGTAGAGTCTCCATCGATTGACCATGCCAAGACATATAGTGGCCGGTCATGGGGAGTTGATGAGTGGTCAGTCTACGGAATCGACAATGGGGAGGCGATGCCAAACGCGTGGAATCCTGTTGTTGATGACAATCCACCGCCGTACGAAGAAGCAATCCGCGGAAAATCGATAAACCATCCCGAGTCCGGCACGAAAGAAAACCCCGACGACTGCTTTGACCCATCCCATGACGAGCTTCGGCAGCATTTGAAGTTGCTTGTGGAAGAAGAGCAGGCCCGATTCAATGCAAATGGAGACACCGGATCCATCCCCGACACGGCCAGCTGGAGTTGGAGCGATCACGCGGAGACCCCAAGTCCTCCAGCAAAGCGCAAGGCCGAGGCGCTGCAGCTCGAGTCTGAGCAGCTACACAAATGCCGGCCAATCGAAAAGCCCGAGGCTGACAAAATTCGCAACCCACTTTCTCCAGACGGGAAACCGAAGACCTTCAAACTCGAGAAGAATGCGCTCCACGACAACGAACACGAAGTCTTCATCTCAAAACGCTCATTACTCAACGGAGGACCGAGTCGCAAACTCTTCAGCGACGCCCAATACCGCTGCTTCACCATCGCACTCAATTGGTTCATGACGATATGGCACGAGAGGGCCGACGCACACATCGCCTTTCTGCCAGAACTCAAGAGACTAGCGCAGCTTGCCGGCAAGGCCGACTCGAAGCGTTCCGAGACGATTAAGAGCTTCGAAGACTTTCGCGTGGCTTGCATGCACCTATTTTGCCAGAACGACCGCCCGCCCCGGCAGACGCCGTTCCGGCACGATCTTGCGGCCAAGGAGAAGCTTAGATTGCTCCACACGTTTGTGTACAGGCCCGACGCTGCGCTGCCCCCGGGCCGAGACTGCTACGTCTTGGATGACCTGCTTGCGCTGCATGAGGTAGCCAAGGCGTGCAGTTCACGGGAGAAGACGACGTGTGAGCTGGAATTTGCCTTTTACGCGCAAATGTCGACGTGCGTCTTGCTTGTCCTGTACGGCACGGCTCATGGGAACAAGTAAACATCGAAAGAAACGTCAGCAAGTCGACGACTGCAGCCATGGATCCTCGCGCAAAATCGACCGTAGACTTCCTTTTCTGACACTGGTCTAACTATTGGATGACTCTTCGCCAGACCTAGACACATCCGGCACTTTGATCATACCCAGCAGCTCATCCTCATCCTCAAAATCAAACACTTCCTTCCTCAGCGCGCCGGCTCTGTAAGCTTCTTGCAGCGTCCAGCTCTGATGATCCGTAAACCACCCGACCTTGACAATCTTTGCCTGGCCAGCCGACGCCTTGACCGCGTCGCTCAGGACTTCAGCAAAGCGCCGCAAGCAACTCTTCAGACCCTCGCCACTACTCGTCTTGTCAAGCACCTGCAAGCCGTCTACGATGACGTAGAGCAGAGGCGGACCGGCAGCCAGGACATCGGCAAGCAGCGCAATCGCTTCCGGCAAGCTCTCTTTCCGCTCATCCAGCCGCGCTATCCTCTCCGCCGACAGATCCACCGCTGTTGCGCCTGTATACGTTTCCGAATCAAGCTGCTCTGGCAGCATGGCTGCGACCTGGTGAATCAATGCGCCCACCATTTTGAGCACCTCCTCCTCCAGATCGAACGTCTTATAGCGGCTCGCATCGTATGCGCAAAAGTACGACACGACGGGGACGCCAAGGTTGCGCAGAGCGGCGACGATGAATGCCGCTGTTAGCGTGTTTTGCGATGGCTGCGCGTCGGGTGCTGGCCCCGCTATCCACAGCGCTTCAGAGACTCCTTTCGAGGCCCAGGACACCAGAGTGTGGTAGATGTTTTGGTTGACGGAGAGGTAGCGCGATTTGGCGGAAAGGTCTTTGATCTTTTCCGTCTGCACTTGTCGTCCCAGATGCTCAGTGGCTTCTTGGATTGTTTTGGTACTCCAGTAGGGTTTAGGGTCCGCGGAGCTTTGTGGATAATCGACCTTGGGCGAAGGATCTTCGATACCTTCTTGCTCAGGTTGATAAGCTTGATCTGTTCCAGAAGCTTCGGCACTTGGCTCTATTTGCAATCTTTCAGGAGGCGCCGCGACCGGCGGAGGAGGAGGTGAATGTGCTGCTCTCGACCTCGGACTATCAATCGCTTGTCCAACCAGACCCGCTTGGCAATGAGCCCCCAAATTCAAACGCACGACGTTGAGCCACATTTTGTTGGTCACGCTGTTGGCCTCCTTTTCCGCCTGCTCCGTGTGGTACCTCAACTTATCCATGGAATTCCGTATTTCGGTCTGAAGCGAATCTCCGAGGATACTTTTCAAGCGCTGTGTCGGCGAGCGGTACCACTCATCCAAAAGCTTGGCCAGGAGTTTGAACAGAGCGCAGTAGTAGCACACAGTGTGCCGCTTGATGTACTCCGAGTCTGGAGCGTCGCAGGCAGATTTGTACAGTGTGCGCACTTGATCTGATGCCCTTCCTAGGCACTCAGAGATCTTTTCTCCCGTGCTTCCGTGGGTTTGTGCGGCCTGATGGGATTAGTTGACTCTGGTCGAAAAACGGGAGTTGTACAAACCTTGACACACGCGGTGAACGCACCAGCGAACACGGAGGAGTATTTGTCGTCCTTTGGAAGCATCTGAAAGAGGTACTCGTACTGCCCCAGCGCGTCGAGGACTTTGACTACCCAGCTTCTTGCCCTGCCTCGTTTCGTTTCTTTGCTCTTTTCCATTTCCTTGTTTGACTCATCGAGCAACTTGCGCAGCTGTTCCATACTTGGCTTTTCATATTCATCACGACCAAATATGTGTCTTTTTCTTTCCTTCTTTTTGTTGACATATTTGAGCACCCTCTTCCAGGACTTTTCAAGTTCTTGAGATATCTCATCGACCTCGCTGACCCAGTCAAACACGTCGTAGCTGCCCCAAGGTCAGCTCACACTTGAAGTTTCGTTTGGGCAATCCCACTATCTGTTGTCTCCAAAC